AGGGGAGGTAGAGACCGGACAGGGCGCCAGACAGGACCGCAGGGCACGGCAGGACAGTGGAGTAGCGAGCCAGAACAGGACCCCCGGAGGGGTCTGCCAAGGAGACCGCCACTGGCCGACTAAGCGGCGTGAGTGTGGTGCGGTCTCAAAAGAAGGAGTGAGACGCCCCGGAGTCAAGAGTGAAAGTGAGAGAGGGTGAAGTCGACATAGTACCTGAGAGGGCAGACTCACCAGCACCTGAGGACTCAGACTCACTGGCACCTAGAGCAACAGCCTCACCAGCACCTGGAGCAGCAGCCTCAACAGCACCTAGAGCCGCAGTACCAATGCCCGGGTCGGGCGGGAAACACCGGTAACAGTCACTCTCCTCACTAATAGTCACAGCATACATAGCAGCAAGAATAGCATCAAAGTCAAGATCAAAGATAGCTACTCCAGCCCTAGACAGCTGGTCCCAGCGAGGGATCTCAGAGGCGTCAGGAAACTGGCGGCGCCAAGCGTCAGTCAGGCGGCCGAAGCAACGCTGGGCGGAGTGTGGACCACCACACTGCTCACCCGCACGCTCGCCAGTGCGCAGGACGTAAGTGCACGGACCAGTACCCCCACCCCGCTGACGCGCAGAGTACCACTCACGGAGCTGCTGCGGGGAGAGGGTCTCCTGACCACGCTGCTGCTGCTGGCGCTGACCACCACCGGAGCCACTCCTCCTCGGCGCGCCACGACCTCCGCCGCCTCCTCCGCCGCCTCCTCCGCCGCCGCCGCCACCACCTCCACCGCCACCGCCACTCCCACCGTCGCCGCCGCCACCGCCGCCTCCGCCTCCACCCCCACTACCACCGCCGCTGCCGCCCCCGCCTCCACTGCCTCCGCCGACACCTCCACTCCCGCCACTACTCCCGCTACCACCCTCACCTCCGCCGCTGCCTCTACCTCCGCCTCCACCGCCCCCGCCGCCTCCACCACCGCCCCTGCCCCCCTTGCTCTTGCCAGAGCGACGTCTCCCGCTGGGGGCAGACGCCGCTCCGACCGACTCAAAACCAACCAGGTCGGCCGTAGCAGCAGAGGCGTCAGAGGGCAGGAGGGGGGAGGGGGAACACCCCTCAAAGATGGGGGTGCGCGGGTCACCACGAGAGGCCCCTACAGCGAGAATGCTCTTCTCGGCTGCGAGGAGGGACTTCTCGAGGATCTCGACAGTGAGAGTGGTGGGGCAGACTGCGAGTAGGTCGTCCCTGACTTCGCGAAGGGAGTCAGGGAGGCGGGTGACAATGAAGTAGAGAGTGAAGTACTGGGGGGGGGGTTCTTGGCGCAGAACTCAGCAGGAAGTGCAGCGCGAAAGCGAGCGTCACTAGTGCGCAGGTGGGTAATGAGGTCGGCGACTGTGGCAAAAGCAGCAAGGTCGGGAAAGAGGTACGGTAGCATGAGGCGGCTTAGTGCAGCAGTGGCAGGGGTGGAGTAGCGTGCGATAACGGCGTCGTACAAGGTCTTAGCACTCTTGTACGACCCAAAGTGCGCACGCTCAGCGGGAGGGAGGTGGCGACGCACAGCAAGACGTGCAGCAGCATCGCGTGTGGCCCACACTGAGCGAACAGTGGCATCCTCAGTAGCAGCAGGGGCGGGAGAGGCACCAGAAGTGAGATCAAAGAGAGAGAGTCCGTCAGCTCTGTCGCACTGTAGGAAAAGCAGTAGGTCGTCTACCCACACGTCAAAGTCAATGGCTCTGCCCTCAGCGTCAAAGGCGAGGACACTGGGGGTAGCCATGAAAGCAGTAGAGAGAGGGCAGTGCGCAGAGTAAAGCTCAGTGCTCACCAGACAGGGCAGTGCAGGGAGGGCTCGGGCGGCTCGGGCGGCTCGACTGCTGGGCGGCTCGGGCGACTCGGCGGCTCGGGCGGCTCGGGCGGCACTGCAGCTGGGGCGGCTCGGCTGCTGGGGCGGCTCGGCTGCTGGGGCGGCTCGGCTGCTGGGGCGGTTCGGCTGCTGGGGCGGCTCGGCGGCTGGGGCGGCTCGGCTGCTGGGGCGGCTCTGCTGCTGGGGCGGCTCGGCCGGGAGATGCAGGGGCGGGGCCGTCAGGTGCAGCGGCGGGCCGGCAGGTGCAGCGGCGGGTCGACCGGTGCAGGGGCGAGTCGGCAGGTGCAGCGGCGGGGCCGTAGGGTGCAGCGGCGGGCAGGTAGGTGCAGCGGCGGGGCCGTCAGGTGAAGCGGCGGGCCGCTGGGTGCAGCGGCGGGCCGTAGGGTGCAGTGGCGGGCCGGCAGGCGCAGCGGCGGGGCCGTCAGGTGAGGCGGCGGGCCGTAGGGTGCAGCGGCGGGCCGTAGGGTGCAGCGGCGGGCCGTCAGGTGCAGCGGCGGGCGGGCAGGGCCGCGTCAGAGCCGGCGGCGGGGCCGCGTCAGTGGAGGCAGCGGGGCCGCGTCAAGCAGGCGGCGGGGCCGCGACGAAGCGGGCGGCAGGGCCGCGTCAGAGCCGGCGGCGGGGCCGCGTCAGTGGAGGCGGCGGGGCCGCGTCAGTGGAGGCGGCGGGGCCGCATCAGTGGAGGCGGCGGGGCCGCGTCAAGCAGGCTGCGGGGCCGCGATCAGGAGGGGCAGCGGGGCCGCGAGGGAAATGGCGACCCGAGGGGTCGCTAAAAAAATGCGCGCCTCGGGGCGCGCTTCGGTGGGCCCTAAAAAAAACCGGTCCTTAGGAAGGACCCGCTCTATACCATGTGAAACAAGTGAACAGGAATGTCTGAACTATGAATGAAGGCAGTACAAATATGAAACCCTAACTGGGTTGTACCCCCTATGGGATACCCCACTACAGCCTACACAATAGTATAAGCTATAGATATGTTCTGACAGCCTCGTGATTCAAGAAATGGACCCTCCCTCGTACCTGCAATTTGGGTGCCATTTGAATAGGTCCCGCAATGGAATCACTCTACAGCTTTTGCAATTGAAGGACGAATTGACCTGGTCATAACAAAAACAACATGGCATGTAATGTTTGCATGCATGCGAAGTCCTAGCAAATGGTCCTACGCGTCATGCACCCAGTCCCATGCCTATACCGACTTTGCTGGGTGGCTATTGTACGTGCTGGTCCATGGGCTGGTGCAAGTCGGGTCCAGGGCTGGTCTGCAGCTGGAACACGCTGTTCCCCTGCAGACCAAGCGAGAACCTACAGTAAGGGCATGTAACCATTTTGCCGGTTTCAGCTCGTTCAAAGAACCCCCGTGAGATTTTGACGCTACTACCGTCGTTAAACCTCGCAATCTTGATCGCAAATGGCCGTATAACGTCGCACACGCAACTGAGTTGGATGGAACTTTTAGGAAACCTGGTTTGCCGCAAAACACCGGCCAAAATGTACTTGTTCATTTAATGTACATACGGAAAAAAAGAAAGCATAGCCTTTGCCAAAATCAAAATGGTTACATGCCCTAATGTACCATCCGGTAATGTGAGGTATTCATGCCTTGACTGTGTTTGAACATATCTAGATGGAAATGTTGTCAGAATATTATCTTATTGTTCTAGCCTGTAGTGGGGTGCTCTATAGCGAGTACAACCCTTCTAGGGTTTGCTATTTGTATCCTCATTCTTGCTAGTTCAATCCTCTCTTTCTTTCTTCTAATTTTCACAAATGTCACATTTTTTTGGGGTCGTAGATTTTTGCGATTACTGTAGTATCGTTAGACACGATGTATCTTTGTAACTCGATTCACGACATTCGCAATTTGCTCGCCAACTGTTAGAGGCTTTGTACGTTGGATTTCGCGCGCCAATCTCTTGCCAGTATTGTTGGACCGTCCATTTTTTTGTTTCAGACTGTCCACGGTTCACATTTCGGACCGTTGAAGAGTGGAAAAGGTGAAAGGACGGTCCACATTGTTGGCAACGTCGCACAAACCTTTGCTAACACCTAGACGGCATAAAACAAAACACGAATCTTTGTCAATCTGTACAATCCACAGTTCGAACTATCGGGTGCAAAATGGTTACGCGCCCTTAGGCGAAACAATGGCGGTGTTCTGTAGGCACACGACAAGGGAGGGAGGAGGAGGGGGGGGGGGGGGGGGGGGTGGGGATGAAGCGAAATGACGATGGTTCTGACGTCATTTTCAATCTCAACATCACCCAAAGGAACAAACAACCGAGGGTGGGAATTTTTGTCTGCACGGGCGAAAAGTGCCGACGGTAGATGAAGAAGTTATAGGTATTATTTCAAGCATAAAAAGGAGGGGTAAATCAAACTGCGCAGAATGCCGAATGAAGGTATGCCATTACGCGCGGGGGTTCTCAACTAAAAAACCATCTGTACACCCAACTGCCAACCCACATCTCAAAAATCGTGAATCGTTTTACATACGCTACATATAGTAGCAACACACCCTACAGTATGCAAAAAGAATGGGTCATTACGGGTACCATAAAGTAGCATGCGTCGTAGGTATTTAGTATGGTCCATTTAGATACTAAACAGTAGTGCGCAAATAGTAGCAAAATAGCAAGTAAACAGTATGCAAATAATAAACGCCAATTAGTAGCCTTTCAGTACCTTCATGGTTTCCATATGGTATGTATCAGTGTTCTCCAAACAGTAGGCACTAGGTATGTTTTAGATTTCCTGATTGTATCTGTTTCCATTGAAGTTTAGACATGTTTTTGTTGGACACTTAGTACCATTTTCTTATATAAACAATATTTTTCTGGTTCTTGTATGTTTATCATTCCCAGCGTCTTATTCATATGCTTTCGGCAACCAGTTACAATACCAGCGACCATTGAAAGGTATTTATTCCATTTGCCAAAATCCATTATTGAACCTACAATACATTCCTACCACCTACCCTACCATACTACGCTGTGCTCAAATAAGCACATTATTGCCACATGGCAATCATCATCACCAATACACCACCACATCACCCATGCACTCAATACCCATCATCCCCTTCATCCATCCAATTGCCTACCTCGTTATCCTCGTCATCACGACCATCACCCTGCGCCTGACAACCTCTCTTGGCCTCATCCTTGTCGGCCTGCATCCTGCAATACTTCACCAGGATCTACGCCTCCTCCTTGTCCCTCGTCAGGATCTGCGCCGTAGGGGATGTGATTCGGAAAGCCGCTGCCCGAGATGACAACGGTGCCTGTCGGTCCGAATACCCATCCCTGGTGATCCGCATCCCAAGACGGCAGCTGGTCGTCAGGAGTGTCATCCAGATACTTCTTGATCGCCGCCTTCACCTTCCTGTGAAGCGAGAGGATCTGGTCGTGGTTGACGCAGGCATCGGTTGAAACCTTCTTGCCGTTCGTGGTGTGATGCTGAACACCGTGCTCAACCTGCCAAATAGCATATAGAAGAGGACGGGTTGGCAATAAATACAATGAATAGAGTACTGGACCGCATTTAGTCATGATTCAGCAAACAGCAGCAAAGGTGGCAACACGGGGGCAGCAGGGAGCACACAAGGGGGAATGGGATATGGGCATAGGGGAAGTGTGCTGGAGGGTCTTGCGACATGGCAGGAGTGACTGCCCCTGCATAAGGGGCAACAGAGGCACATAGGTGGGGTTGGGAGGAAGGGAAGAGGGTGAGGATGAGGTGAGCGGAAGGCCTGGAGTGACTGCCCCTGCACAAGGGGCAACAGAGGCACATAGGTGGGGTTGGGAGGAAGGGAAGAGGGTGAGGATGAGGTGAGCGGAAGGCCTGGAGTGACTGCCCCTGCACAAGGGGCAACAGAGGCACATAGGTGGGGTTGGGAGGAAGGGAAGAGGGTGAGGATGAGGTGAGTGGAAGGCCTGGAGTGGCTGCCCCCGCACAAGGGGCAACAGAGGCACATAGGTAGGGTTGGGAGGAAAAGTAGAGGGTGAGGATGAGGTGAGTGGAAGGCCTGGAATGACTGCCACTGCAAAAAGGGCAACAGAGGCACATTCGGTGGGGTTGGGAGGAAGGGTAGAGGGTGAGGATGAGGTGAGCGGAAGGCCTGGAGTGACTGCCCCTGCACAAGGGGCAATAGAGGCACATACGTGGGGTTGGGAGGAAGGGTAGAGGGTGAGGATGAGGTGAGCGGAAGGCCTGGAGTGACTGCCCCTGCACAAGGGGCAACAGAGGCACATAGGTAGGGTTGGGAGGAAGGGTAGAGGGCGAGGATGAGGTGAGCAGAAGGCCTGGAGTGACTGCGACTGCAAAAGGGGCAACAGAGTCACATAGGTGGGGTTGGGAGGAAGGGTAGAGGGCGAGGATGAGGTGAGCGGAAGGCCTGGAGTGACTGCCATTGCAAAAGGGGCAACAGAGGCTCATTGGTAGGGTTGGGAGGAAGGGTAGAGGGCGAGGATGAGGTGAGCGGAAGGCCTGGAGTGACTGCCACTGCATAAGGGGCAACAGAGGCACATTCGGTGGGGTTGGGAGGAAGGGTAGAGGGTGAGGATGAGGAGAGCGGAAGGCCTGGAGTGACTACCACTGCACAAGGGGCAACAGAGGCACACAGGTGGGGTTGGGAGGAAGGGAAGAGGGTGAGGAGGAGGTGAGCGGAAGGCCTGGAGTGACTACCTCTGCACAAGGGGCAACAGAGGCACATAGGTGGGGTTGGGAGGAAGGGAAAAGGGAAGTTGTGGGTATAGGGAAAGGGGTACCTGAATGAGGGGAAGATGGGAACTGTGAGTACAACAAAAATCAAGACAGAGGTGAGCAAAGAGGAGAATATATAACAGCAGCGCATGAGTGCTCATGTGTGGATTTGGGGGCTTACCAAATACAGGACGTATGCAATGTGGAAAGCCTTGATGACAGTCGCAGAACCACCAACACCCTTCTGAAACGCATTCCGAATGATGATGTCAAACAGCCCCGTTGCAAAAGGGCGGTTCAGCTTGTCATCCACATGCCATCGCAGCAGTCCGCCTTTGACTGCCAAATAATGGGATGCGAGGGGGAGTGATGGGCATGGAAGGAGCAGCAGAGGAGAAGAGGAGGGACAGAGGGATTGGAGTGATGGGCAAAGGGAATGGAGAGGAGCAAAGGAGGGACAGAGGGAATGGAGTGATGGGCAAAGGGAATGGAGAGGAGCAAATGAGGGACATAGGGGATCGGTGAGTGCGATTGAGGGTTCAGGGCAAGTCGCATACATACCGAGGGGCTTCACGCCTTCCAGATCATACACGTCCTTCAAAGTCAGCTGCTCATCACTGACAAGCTCGTCGTAAGCGTATTTGAGCCGCGGATTTGCCTCGCACGCGAGGCCGAACGCATCGCAAAACACTTTCCGCGCATGCATCGATAAGCGACCTCGCCAGTAATTCAGCTTCCGCTTTGCCACGCCTGCACGTGTCGTGCAATACGTCATCACGGAGACCACTGCATCACAAAGGTCCTCACCCCACACGAAGATCAAGCACTCTGTTATGAGCCAGTCCAAGGGATACATAGTCGTCCGGTCGTTGGGCTGGTAGAACAAAGCAATTTGCACTGCCGTTTCCATCTTCTTTTGATGAGTAAGGGGTCATCACAAAAATGCGTGTGTCTGAAAATCATCTGACATTCGCGGCAGCCTATCGTACGTTTGACAAGCGTTTGACAAACGTACAGGGAAACTCTAAAAAACGTTTGCCTTTGGCGGAATGTTTTCCAGTCACATTCTGAATGTTTGCTCCTAACTATTTCTTGTTTGTGCGCAGGATTAGGGTTCCGGGCCTAATAGATAGTCGAGCATGTCTCTTCGCGTGGGAGCAGATAGCGAGAAATTTGATTCTCTCCAAGAATTCCTCGTGTAGGCTTTTGTGTACCATTTGTTACATTCATGACATTTGCACTTATGTTTCTTTGAATATGATGATGTAATTTTCTCTATGAAAATAGTGTTTCCAAGAGTCATGTTTAACCATTTGAAGGAAATTTTACACCTATTATATTCTTACAAGGCCTAAAAAGAACATAGTCAGAGAACAATTTCATGTTTACAAAAGTCACAATGCGTCAAAGTTCTCTACGTTCGCTAGACCTCACCAAACGAATCTATTAAGAAGGCTCACTTCATCGTCCTCACATGAGGGAACAATGTGTACGAGATTGAGAATACAGTCGACATCAATCACTGCAAAATCATCCTCGCCCTCTGTGGGTAGAAGGCGCTTGCATCCCGTTGACGGGCATAGTCGCTTGTCCTCGGTGTGATACTCCACGTATGCTCCGCGCCTCAGCTCCCCATCTTTGTTGTAGTGAAACAGGACAAGACAACGGCCGTACCAGGGGGACCCCTTCCCTGCAGGGTTGATTGCAACAGATGAGAAGTTCTTCTCGCCCGGGCTAGCCTTGACAAACTGCCCCCTTGACGTCCATTCCATCTTGTCGTGGGGCGGAATCGCAAGTGCCGTGTGCACCTGAAACCACGAGCATGAACCAAGAAAATGTGAAACCAGCGAAAGAGGCGGTGGAGAGCATAGCGAAAGGGGGAAATTGACCAAGGGCTGGAGTGGGTGGAAAAGCATTTTGGAGAGGAGGAAGGGGGGCTGGAGTGGGTGGAAAGCATTTTGGAGAGGGGGAAGGGGGCTGGAGTGGGTGGAAAGCATGCAGGAGAGGGGGAAAGGGAGCTGGAGTGGGTGAAAAAGCATTTTGGAGAGGGGGAAGGGGGGCTGGAGTGGGTGGAAAGCATTTTGGAGAGGGGGAAGGGGAGCTGGAGTGGGTGGAAAGCATGCAGGAGAGGGGGAAGGGGGGCTGGAGTGGGTGGAAAGCATGCAGGAGAGGGGGAAGGGGGGCTGGAGTGGGTGGAAAGCATGCAGGAGAGGGGGAAGGGGGGCTGGAGTGAGTGGAAAGCATGCAGGAGAGGGGGAAGGAGGGCTGGAGTGGGTGGAAAGCATGCAGGAGAGGGGGAAGGGGGGCTATAGTGGGTGGAAAGCATGCAAGAGAGGGGGAAGGGGGGCTGGAGTGGGTGGAAAGCATGCAGGAGAGGGGGAAGCGCGGCTGGAGTGAGTGGAAAGCATTTTGGAGAGGGGGAAGGGGGGCTGGAGTGGGTGGAAAGCATGCAGGAGAGGGGGAAGGGGGGCTGGAGTGAGTGGAAAGCATGCAGGAGAGGGGGAAGGGGGGCTGGAGTGGGTGGAAAGCATGCAGGAGAGGGGGAAGGGGGGCTGGAGTGGGTGGAAAGCATGCAGGAGAGTGGGAAGGGGGGCTGGAGTGAGTGGAAAGCATGCAGGAGAGTGGGAAGCGGGGCTGGAGTGAGTGGAAAGCATGCAGGAGAGGGGGAAGGGGGGCTGGAGTGAGTGGAAAGCATGCAGGAGAGGGGGAAGGGGGGCTGGAGTGAGTGGAAAGCATGCAGAAGAGGGGGAAGGGGGGCTGGAGTGGGTGGAAAGCATGCAGGAGAGGGGGAAACGGAGCTGGAGTGAGTGGAAAGCATGCAGGAGAGGGGGAAGCGGGGCTGGAGTGAGTGGAAAGCATGCAGGAGAGGGGGAAGGGGGGCTGGAGTGAGTGGAAAGCATGCAGGAGAGGGGGAAGCGGGGCTGGAGTGAGTGGAAAGCATGCAGGAGAGGGGGAAGGGGGGCTGGAGTGGGTGGATTCGGCGGCAGTGAGAAAAAATGGCATATCCATACGACCGGTTTAGCACCTGCAAAACTTGCGTGTTGATGCCTGCCCGTCTGAGTCGCAGAACCATCGCACTCATGGCGGGTTCACCAACAGTCAAGACGTAGCTCCGAAACACTGAGTCGGTGATGTCCCCCAGGACCATCTTCTTATGGGTCTTAGTAAGCACCCTCCAGCCAGCCAGGCATGCCTGTCACCGTGGAGAGGAGAGGGTTGGTATAGGGAGGGGGAGGGTTGTATGGTGAGTCCTTTTGGAGGGAGGAGGAGGGGGGGGGATAGGGGATGGATGCGAGGTGTAGGCGAAGAAGGGAAAGGCCACGAAGGGGGAATGGGTGTGGGGGAAAGGGGGAGAGGTTGTGGGGACGAAGAAGGTTATGGGGGGGTAGGAATCGATTACTTTGGTTAGGTTGGTCCTAAATGTGATTGCCAACTCATGCAGAGAGCATGGAAACAGAAATGCGGGCAAAGAGACGAGCGAACAGAACGTGGCACAGAGCAGGGCAGACACAGAAGTGAACAAATCAGGGAAGCGGTGAAGGGAACAGAGCGGGGCACAGAGCAGGGCAGACACAGAAGTGACAAATCTGGGAAACAGTGAAGGGAACAGAGCGGGGCACATAGCAGGGCAGACACAGAAGTGAACAAATCAGGGAAACAGTGAAGGGAACAGAGCGGGGCACATAGCAGGGCAGACACAGAAGTGAACGAATCAGGGAAACAGTGAAGGGAACAGAGCGGGGCACAGAGCAGGGCAGACACAGAAGTGAACAAATCAGGGAAACGGTGAAGGGAACAGAGCAGGGCACAGAGCAGGGCAGACACAGAACGGAACATGGCAGGGTAACAGCGCAGGGAACAGAGCAGGGAAACAGAACAGGGCACCGAGTAGGGGAGACACAGTATGGAACATAGCAGGGTAACAGAGCGGATAACAAAGAAGGGGAAATGACGAGGGGAACAGAGCAGTGTGAGAGAGCAAGAGAGCCGAGCGGGGAAAAAGAGCAGGGGGGGAGAGCATGAGACCCAAGCAGCGAAACAGAGCAGGAAAGAGCATGAGAACCGAGCAGGGAAACAGGGCAGGGGAGAGAGAAACAGGGCAGGGGAGAGAGCATGAGAACCGAGCAAAGAAACAGGGCAGGGGAGAGAGCATGAGAACTGAGCTCGGGCAAACTGAACATGGCACAGAGCAGGGCAGACACAGAAGGGAGCATAGCAGGGAAACTGAAGGGAATACAGCAGGGCACAAAGCAGGGCAGACACAGAACGGAACATGGCAGAGGATAACAGTGCAGGGAACAAAGCGGGGAAGACACAGTAGGGAACACAGCTGGGAAACAGAGCAGATAACAAAGAAGGGGAAATGACTAGAGGAACAGAGCAGGGGGAGAGAGAAGGAGAACCAAGCAGGGAAACAGAGCAGGGGGAGAGAGCAAGAGAGCCGAGCAGGGAAACAGAGCAGCGGAACAGAGGAGGGGAACCGAGCAAGAGAACAGAGCATGGCATCACTTCAGGAGATCACAGCATGGGATTAAAATAGGGAAACTTAGCAGACGACGGGGTGCAGGGGAACAGAGCAGGTTCGTAAAACTCACCTCTTTCATTGAGGTCTTGTACGTGCTGTCCCCTCCGGCCTCCCGCACGAGTTGCCTAACTACCGCATGCTCCAGGTGTTTCCGGACGATTCGATCTTCAACATTCTTCCAGTTCGTGCCACGTGCAGGACGCTTCACAGTGGTCTTGTGGGAGTGCTCGTTGCAGTTCGACGAGTACTCGGCAGGGATCCCCCTCATACGGATGGTTGATGGGAGGTGAACGAGAAGATGAATCTTAACAATTTTCCACTTTGACTTCTGCTTAGGGAAAGCGACACAAAGAGCCTTCACCAACCTGAAGAAAATTTAGACACAAGGCATGCAGTTAAGAGGGGGAATGCAGGCCGGGAAGGGAGAAACGGGATGCGGGAGGGGGAGTGAGGAAGCAGACAGCGAAAACAGAAACACGGAAGGAGGGAGCAGGGAGGTGGGTTATGGAGGGACAACGATGCAGTGCAGAGGGAGAAGATGGGCCTGGGAAACCACATCACAGACGGACTAATTACTTGATGGTGGCGTCTTTCATCCATTCCAGAGATTCGTCGGTGTGGTACTCAGCGCGGATGAACTCCTTGTACCACTCGACCATCTTGACAATGGCCGTGCGAATATCTTCTCGTCCTGGGAGGTTGATGATGAGGGGCAGGACCTGCATCATCGCCCGATGCTCTGCAGCTGAAAAGCAGGCAGTGGATGTTAAGTAGGCCTATGGCGAAGGAAGACGTAGCATGTGGCCTCCTTCAAAATTTTGTATCACCTAGGTGTGAATAACAGTTAGTCAGAGCACGGAAAGCAAGCACGGAGGGGAGTAGCATGAAGCAGGGCGCGGAAAGCAAGCACGGAGGGGAGTAGCATGAAGCAGGGCGCGGAAAGCAAGCACGGAGGGGAGTAGCATGAAGCAGGGCGCGGAACAACTCACTCCAGAAGAATCTTCCGTTCCCTCGGGGTCAGCTTCTTCACCAAGCACTTCATGGCATGCAGCCATATGCCCTGCTCCCAGATGTGCATGATGTCCGGGGGCACAGCAAGGTACGTGTTGCCCCAGAGAGTTTTTGCGAATTCCCAGTCCCACAAAAGGCTCTGCGTCGGGGGTCAAGGACACAAACTCACTATGCCGGGTCAGGATAATAAATACGAACTGCAAGATGCAGATCGGAGTAGGTTTTCGGGCACACTAGCCACGGCAGTATATGGTGGATACGGAGGGAAACCATATGAAAACCACAAGGATGCACGCGGAGCAAGCTGGGCAAGGCGCACCTTCACAAAGTGTGTAGAGGACTTCCTCTTCACCGCCTTCAGCTCCTTTTTGGTCTTCGCGGCTTTCATCTTCTTGTGAAAATCCTTCTGACCCTTGACAGTTCTAAGGACAATGGTGTCTTCCTGCTTCTTTTTGGTTTCCGCAGATTCCTTCTGACCCTTGACATTTCTGGGGACAATGGTCTCGTCGTGCTCATCGAGGCGCTTCTTATCAGTTGGCTGTTGAGTCAACTCAAAGTTCATCTCATCCAGGCCCTCCTTTTCAGCCAAGCACAACGAGCACGGATGGTGTGAGTTGCATGCCATCGTACAGGTGATCTTAGAAGACTCCGGGTGATCGGCCACCCATGAATAAAGGAGCGTGAATGCTCTATACTGCACGCCGGCACTGTCTTCCACCATCACACCGCCCGTGCACAGCCGCCAGGATTAGGGGTAAAGCAGGGGGGGGTATGGCGAGGATGGGAGACCATGTTAGATATGTCACTGATGGTGTGAGCATGGGTTGCTGTAAGCAAGCAGATGAAGGACGGTTAGGAGGAGGGGGACAGCAAGCAGGGATGGTTTCAACGGCAGGAGACGGTGGTACAGGAGGAACCCGAATGGTATTAGGTGAAGCATGGTGGCTGGGAGCAGAGTACTTTCGACTGAATCCGGCGTCGTGGCACGCATGCGAAAGAAGAACAGAGGAGAAAGGGGGTCAAAAAGGGAGGGGAGTGTGGATTAGACAGGCAATGAAAATAAGTAGGGTAGTGTGGTGGATTTTGGAGAGTACAAGGGATGCGCGCCTTTGGGCGAGAGTAGCGGTGTCTCACCCTGAAAGATGTGAAGCCGCCTTTAAATCTCGAATCATGATCTCTGCAGCGTCCTGGAACACTCGAACCTTCTCTTCTGGCGAGAGGTCAGCTGGGATGTTAGGCAGGAGCCCGAGAAGCTCAGTGCCTCCTTCAAGCCACCTAGCCCATTCAGGAATGTTCCCAAGGGACAACAGAAATGGGTGGGCAGATTGGCGCCCGTTGTACGATAGATTGGTCTGGTCTGAGAACAAAATGAGAGCTATAACTATGGCAAACTTCCGCACCCTTTCCTGCCACAGTGATGATAAAGGGAAGGAAAAACGTATTGGATCCTAGGTTTCAATGCTCGTGTCCAACGCGACATGAGATGGCATGGAACTTACCCAAGCCTCGAGCATCCAATCCGTGTTTGCAGGGGTACTGTAGCGGCGAACCCCATCAACCTTCCACTCTTGAGGCATGATGCTGAATCCCTTGACAGCCGACATCTTGCTGAACATGGACAGAAGGAGCTGATGGTGATAAGGATGGCAACAATGATGGAAAACAGAAGCGTAGGATTGATGGTTCTATTTGGACTGAAGGTTTAGTCGGTCTTAGAAAACACATTCCACTGTGACAAACGTGACCCCGCACGCATGGATACATTCACATTTATCGCGTTTCGGCGCTTGAAGGTGAGAAACTCAACCTCGTGATCCACTTCGATCTCCTCGACGATCCATTCATTCTCCGCCCCAAGGTCAAAGCTGTTCTCGTACTTCTCCAGGTCCCTGTAGCTGTTCCAATCGTCCAGCTGCTTTGGATCTAATTTTGGGTGTCTAACTAACTGTATTGTGTCGTTTATCGCCCCGTTGGTTAGACCGTGAGATCGTGCCAAAATGCATATTTCCGCCTTAACATCAAGAATTTCCTCTGTAGGAGCTTCTTCCACCACGAGTGTGGTGCTGCACGTACGAACCGCATCAGGAACTCGCTCTGCCGGCTGCGGGTGCTGCTCTACTGCGTTCGGAAGTGCCGCTATAGGAATTGAATGCGCTGGCGCGGGAAGGGTGGCTGTTGCTAACGGAACAAAGGTATACTGCTTCTCCACGCCACGGTCTAGCTTCTTACGTTTAGCATCCTCTTCAGCCTTGCGTTTTTGGGCCCGCTTACAGCCGTCATGGTTAGCTTGATGGCTACTTACGTATTGATAGCAGTACACGCGCTTATTGCAGAACTCACAAGCCTGAGCCTCCATCGAGCAGATCTGTCTGTAAGACTGAAAGGGTGTTTGGCACACCAGTTTGATATGTGAATGCCAACACTGCACAAGAATGAGATAGCGCCTGTCGAATGGACGATAGTTTACGAGGGAAGGGTTGGGCGCGAATACGAATTGGCGATCTGAGTCTGAACACCTGTTTCCATTGACCCTGATTGGCGATTGGTTATCGGGTGTCGGTAGTTGGTATGCAATTGGTTAGGGTTTGTGGCGTTCTGCTCGAATTTAGGTCACCCAGTTTGTTGGTGCGCGACCACGCGCAGTTGGGCGAGTGGGCCATGCGACTCTCATACTCCGCATATTGTAACTGTTGTCACGTACAAAAACAGCTCTCTCGCTGCAGCAACCTGACGAAGTTTTGTACCGAGCTGGGAACATTTCCACTTGCGACATGGACCTGACCTCAATTTCGCATACACAAGCCGCTCGAATGTCATTGGAGCAGAGAATCCTGTCAGACTTCTCCACATTGCTCACCATGTTGACAGGATATCACGAGCACGCTATTCGCTGACAACGTATGGGAGCAGAGATTTTGGCACAAAGTTGACCAACGAAAAGCAAGGGCGTGTGGTTCCTACTTCAGGAACTACAGTACCTGCTTCGACTTTGCGTTGAGCTGCCTGGGCAACGGAATTTTGACCCTGTGAGTTTACTATCTCAAGGTATGGAGGAGAAGGGCATACCCAAGTTATCGCGATGTCGTTTCCAGCACATGAGCATGCCATCCCCGTTTGGGGGGGGGTGGCTTGAAATCAAGCCCTCAGATTACTGCACGTTGAGAAACAAGCAGTGGATCAGTGGCACGGTTATCGAGTGGCTATCATCGTGAGTAGCTTAAAACGCAAAGGTAATAGACATGGCGGCACCTTGATCAAATTTACTCACGCGCTACCGCGAGTTTCCACATTTCCATGGCGTTCCCGCAGGATGTTACACTATGAGAACGGACTCGAAAATGCTGAGTGGCTGTGTAGATCGCCGTATTTCTGGACACTCGTCGCGCGGCCGGGGTCTAAGAGAATCACTAGGCTGGCATATGGCCTTGACATCTTATTGTTTAAACACGTGCTTGTTCCGATTAACAAGGAGTATGTGCTCGGGCAATTGTTTGAAGGATTCATACGTTCAAGGTTGCAGCAATCTAATGATCTTTGAATGATTCCAAAATGCAGTGCGCACTGAAGCCTTGGAGTCATCGAAATCAACCATGCTCCAGGATCTCTGATCCCAATCAAGTGTGTATTGTGGCATGCGGACTCATATGCAAGTCACATCGACATCGATGGTCCATTAAAAAAGTGAGCTATTCGTGATGCTTATGAAACTTGTGTATTGCGGACCGATCCTAACTACATGTACGTCCCAATGCGTAGATGTTTGATGACAAACGTCATGAAGCGCTACGCATGGGTCACGGAGACAGAGGCAAAATCGTGGGCTGACGCGATCCAGTTACACGTCATCGAGGTACGTGCACGGGATACCCGGTTGTGCATGGACAGGCGTGGGATGCGCGAATGGGAATAGGGAGTGGGAGGGACGGTGGAGCATGGACAGGCGCGCGATGCGCGGATGGGTAAGGGAGTGGGAGGGACGGCGGTGCATGGACAGGCGTAAAATGCTCGGATGGGAAAGGGAGTGGGAGGGACGGCAGTGCATGGACAGGTGTGAAATGCGCGGATGGGTAAGGAGGTAGGAGAGTAGGCTATGCATGGACAGGCGTGGGATGCGCGGATGAGTAGGGAGTGGGAAAGACGGCTATGCATGGACAGGCGTGGGATGCGCGAATGGGAATGGGGAGTGGGAGGGACAGTGGAGCATGGACAGGCGCGCGATGCGCGCATGGGTAAGGGAGTGGGAGGGACGGCGGTGCATGGACAGGCGTGGGATGCGCGGATGGGTAAGGGGGTAGGAGAGTAGGCTATGCATGGACAGGCGTGGGATGCGCGGATGAGTAGGGAGTGGGAAAGACGGCTATGCATGGACAGGCGTGGGATGCGCGAATGGGAATGGGGAGTGGGAGGGACAGTGGAGCATGGACAGGCGCGCGATGCGCGCATGGGTAAGGGAGTGGGAGGGACGGCGGTGCATGGACAGGCGTGGGATGCGCGGATGGGTAAGGGGGTAGGAGAGTAGGCTATGCATGGACAGGCATGGGATGCGCGGATGAGTAGGGAGTGGGAAAGACGGCTATGCATGGACAGGCGTGGGATGCGCGAATGGGAATGGGGAGTGGGAGGGACAGTGGAGCATGGACAGGCGCGCGATGCGCGCATGGATAAGGGAGTGGGAGGGACGGCGGTGCATGGACAGGCGTGGGATGCGCGGATGGGTAAGGGGGTAGGAGAGTAGGCTATGCATGGACAGACGTGGGATGCGCGGATGAGTAGGGAGTGGGAGAGACGGCTATGCATGGACAGGCGTGGGATGCGCAAATGGGAATGGGGAGTGGGAGGGACGGTGGAGCATGGACAGGCGCGCGATGCGCGGATGGGTAAGGGAGTGGGAGGGAGGGCGGTGCATGGACAGGCGTGGGATTATGCATAATACAAGCACCATCCACTCCGAGTGCCCTATGCAGGTGCGTCAGCAAGACAACGAGAACGACTGTGGCGTTTTTGTGATGCGTGTCATTCATACGCTTGTCGAGACCAAGTTCGACAGATTGAATGCGTGTGACTTGGCCGGGACGCCAAGACAGTGGAGGCGCCAGTACCGTGACGATTTGGCTAGGTGGTCCTGTGTCTATCACAATGCATGTGGGTCGATCCAGGCTGATTGATGCCATTAAGCCTGCTTGGTGTTGGTTAGTGACATGCATTTGCACCTGACAGTCTGTTGCTTCGTACTGCTCGACGCTTGATGGAAACTGACATGACAGTACGGTAACTGCTTTGCATGGCGTGTTAAGCTCTAAGCCGACCACTACATGGTGTCAGTCAGGACACTCAGAAACACAACATAGTGGTTGGGGTCTTGCTGAACTTGATGAGTAGTCAGGAACAACCTCCAAGAGGGATGGCAGGCAACCATGTGAGTATTTCACTTTCACATGCACCTCAACGTGAATCGTCCTTATGCAGCGCCCTAGAAAAGGTGCTATGCATCGGCCCGTGAGCGTAGTAATGTGGACACTATGCAGCTTCTATCATCTCCAAGGCCGTAACATCTACGCGGCAAGCCAGTTGTTGATGTGATCCAAATTGTGCTTGCTCTCACGAATTGCACAATGTTTATTGATGGTTGCTAGGTGTGAACACTGGTATAGTCGTTGTAAGTCACGCCAAGTATTCACCCTAATCTGATACTGCAAATTCACAAAAGCATACCAGTGTGCGATACGGCGGCCGGACTGACACTGTTAGTTTACGCGTGCAGGATGATTAGTTTGAAGCAACCTGTGAGCACCTTGTTTTGAAGGGAAACTTTGTTAACCTTTCAACATTTCCCAAAATCGTCATTCCCTTATCGCATCAATCATGTTACATCCCCGCTACAAATAGCCGTGCCACGAAATCAATGTTTCAACGCAACCACTCGGGGTATTCTCGAACCGCAATGTCTTGCATCCATCACGGCTCCAAACGCACAAATGTGCGCCGACAACGCGCTGCCAATTTGCTGCAGTCACATCGATTTTATTTTTTGGTGTGCGGCAAGGCTTGGTTCAGTTCCCGTGCTCACGCATGTAATTACTTTCTACTTGACGCACTTATAATTCCGATCAGGCATTGTGGGCGCTAGGGCGTTCTAGCCCAAGTAGTCTGCTGCAATTTAGGATTCGAAACATTGGCTCATTGACAGCGCGTTTCTTGCAACCCCCAGGGCAGCTAAACTGTTGCGCTGCACCAGCCCCACCACCCAACGTGCTGCCACCTGGTAACTCGTTACAGGAACAAGCATCTTCATGCCGATTCTCATGCCGGGAGATGAGACCACGCTATGCTCCACGTTCGAAGTACCTAGTTCGTCTTGCTGGAAGCCGTTCGGTTCTCGTCACGATACCCCCCTACGGTAGGCACGTCAAGCAACAACGGTAGTAGTACTACCTGGTAGTCAATGTCGATGTTCCCTCTGGCACTCGATGCAAAGTGAGAATATGGCAGAGGTAGCACGTAATAGCCGCCATCTCGCTGTTCTCGTAATAGGCTCATCCAGCTATGGCGCTCCGAGTGGCTCTCGTAGGAAGCACGTCCTGCTTTGGCGTTGCGATTGGCTCTCGTAGTAGGCTCGTCCTGCTCTGGGAAGGCGGTGATGTTATCTGACGGCGCGTCCAACAAGGGCGCGTTTCGCGGCCGTTGGCGAGTTTCGCGGGCACGTAGTGCGATTGCGCGCTGTTGTTCTGGCAGGCACGTCCAGCTCGCGCGCCGCTGTTCCTTGCGTCTCTAACACGTATTTATGGAAAACTTGATACTTAGGGATGCACAGCAGAATTTTGTAGCCGTTAATTGGGCTTGTTTAGCAGAATTGATAGAGAGATGGCAGACATCATTGTTTCTGAACAGGCCGATGCTAGTTTGCTCCTCGGTAGCGCTGGAGCTTTACATCCCTCGGGCGACGCGAAAACCGACGCGGAACAGCAGCTGCACGACAAGATGACGCCTCACGATACCTCCTAGCTAGTTGTGCGGTATCGTCGGAAGAACACACTTCCTGCACGCGATGCCAAGGTGGAATCGGAAGGGGCATCTTCATCGGATAGTGAGCAATCTGAAGAAGAGGCCTACGATGGCAAGGTTAGACGCGGCGGTTCACGCGGGTGGAGGAACGGTCGAAAGCTGAAGCCGTTAGACCAGTGCAAACCTGCTACGGGGAGGAAAGGTACGCAATGAGCTTTTATCCAGCTTCTTCAAGTTTGCATGTCTTAAAGTTGCTCGTTAATAATTTGGATGTGTTCACACCCAATCCAGAGAGGTGCTGCCCTCCTATTAACTGAGCGTATCGTCCTTACTTCATGCGTGTTGTAGGTACCCTCGCTGGAGCCAATAAAAATAAGAAAAAAAGACAAGACGCGGCTGGTGCAACAGGAATCGTGCAAGATGTAGATGATAAGGAGCAACTGCCAGAGAAAGGGCATAAGCGTGGGGATGAGCGTGATGGAGAGCGTGAGGGCAGGCGTGAGGGAGGGCTTGAGGGCAGCCGTGAAGGCAGGCGTGAGGGCAGGCGGGAGGGAGAGCGTGAGGCTGAACATGAGAGAGAGCGTGAGGGAGAGCGTGAGGGAGAGCGTGATGTGAAGCGTGAGGGAGAGCGAGAGGGAGAGCGTGAGGGAGAGCGTGATGTGAAGCGTGAGGGAGACCGTGATGTGAAGCGTGTGGGGGAGCATGGGGTGAAGCGTGAGGGAGAGCGTGATATGAAGCATGATGCGTCTTCTCCCTCTACTCCAGCAGGTGTTCGTGCGGCGGATGCACACAATGTTCGAGGGCATGAGGAGGGTGGGAGGGAGAGCCGCGGCACTGAGCTAGAAGATCAGAGGGGGGTGTCAGGGAGGGTGAAGGCACGGTCCAGAAAGGCTGGAAAGAAGGCCGCTGCTGAGGTCAAATCTTCTGATGGAGAAGATAGTTCTGAGGAGGAATCAGGGAGTTCATCCAGGAGCGAGGAGAAGTATGATGAGGAAGAGGACGAGAGTGATGACGCTGAAACTGGGTCCGGGAGTGATGACGACGGTAGGAGAGGGGGGAGGGCGCGAGGAGCGCGCAACCACCGCTATAGCGGAAAGCGTGGTCATGCAACCGGTGGTAAGGCTGGTAGTGGACGTAAACGGCAGAGACGTAGAGAGTGTGCTCAAGGAAAGCGAGCAGATACTGAGGGTTACGCCCGGCGGCGTTGTAAGGAGCGTCCTGTTGTGAGACAGGACGTTGGCTTCTACAATGAGATGAGGACCATGGTGAACTCGGATGATGCTGGTCCGTCGAATCGTCGGGAGAACGTTCGGATGAAACGGGCAGCAACCAACGATCCGTATGCTGCCCTTGCTTCCACCTCAGTATTGGGAAAGAGAGCATCTAGATTTCAAGATTCGAGTGTGATGACAACGCTGGCCAGCAGCATGACAACACGCACAATCCAGCCGGTGGTAGTGACCATCCGGCCTGTGGTGGGGGTCTGGGGGCGGAAGATGGTGAGGCGGGTGGTGTTGGAGATTGGTTCAATGATGGCAGGAAAGTTGGACGCTCTGACCCAGCAACTCCACCCCCGTTCGCATCGGCAAGAGGCGATTCCCCGCTCGACGCTAGCGGAGTGCCCATCATTACCTCGAGCAATTCTCCTAATGAATCCATGCAGCAACTCTTCCGGGCATTGCAGGAAGCTAATCGGCAGATTGCCGAGCTAAAGGCCGGTCGTGGACCTTCGGTGGACCGGGGGGGAAGTGGGACGCAAATCCCGCCACTTACCTCGATATCCAGTGAACAACCTGAGCCGCCTGAAACGCCGGGCGCTGTGGCGGAGAGCGCTGTACAAGGCACTCCCATCACCAGGAGGCATGGGATGCCAAACGCGACTAATTTGAAGGTAAGTACCACCAATTTCTCCTACCGATTGCCACACCTGACTCGCTGGCTTGCTCATTATACGGTTTTGTTTGACCAATGGTGCATTTTCATTCTCTTTCTCCAGTTGTCTAGTTTTTCCCACTCTCTGGTCACATTCCCACTCTCTGGTTTCCTTCTATGCACTGATTCATTCTCATTCCCACCCTCTGGTCCCATTCTCTGCAGTGACTCATTCACATTCCCACTCTCTGGTTTACTTATCTGCAGTGATTCATTCTCATCCCACCCTCTGGTCTCATTCTCTGCAGTGACTCCCACTCTCTGGTTTCCTTCTCTGCAGTGATTCATTCTCATCCCACCCTCCGGTCTCATTTTCTGCAGTGACTCATTCACATTCCCACTCTCTGGTTTCCTTCTATGCACTGATTCATTCTCATTCCCACCCTCTGGTCCCATTCTCTGCAGTGACTCATTCACATTCCCACTCTCTGGTTTCCTTCTCTGCAGTGATTCATTCTCATCCCACCCTCTGGTCTCATTCTCTGCAGTGACTCCCACTCTCTGGTTTCCTTCTCTGCAGTGATTCATTCTCATCCCACCCTCAAGGCTCATTCTCTGCAGTGACTCATTCACATTCCCACTCTCTGGTTTCCTTCTATGCACTGAGTCATTCTCATTCCCACCCTCTGGTCCCATTCTCTGCAATGACTCATTCACATTCCCACTCTCTGGGTACCTTCTCTGCAGTGATTCATTCTCATCCCACCCTCTGGTCTCATTCTCTGCAGCGACTCATTCACATTCCCACTCTCTGGTTTCCTTCTATGCACTGATTCATTCTCATCCCACCCTCTGGTCTCATTCTCTGCTGTGACTCAGTCACATTCCCACTCTCTGGTTTCCTTCTCTGCAGTGATTCATTCTCATCCCCACCCTCTGGTCTCATTCTCTGCGGTGACTCCCACTCTCTGGTTTCCTTCTCTGGAGTGACTCATTTACATTCCTACTCTCTGGTTTTCTTCTCTGCAGAGATTCATTCTCATCCCACCCTCTGGTCTCATTCTCTGCAGTGACTCATTCACATTCACACTCTGGTTTCCTTCGCTGCAGTGATTCATTCTCATCCCACCATCTGGTCTCATTACCTGCAGTGACTCATTCACATTCCCACTCTCTGGTTTCCTTCTCTGCAGTGATTCATTCTCATCCCACCCTCAAGGCTCATTCTCTGCAGTGACTCATTCACATTCCCACTCTCTGGTTTCCTTCTATGCACTGATTCATTCTCATTCCCACCCTCTGGTCCCATTCTCTGCAGTGACTCATTCACATTCCCACTCTCTGGTTTCCTTCTCTGCAGTGATTCATTCTCATCCCACCCTCTGGTCTCATTGTCTGCAGTGACTCCCACTCTCTGGTTTCCTTCTCTGCAGTGATTCATTCTCATCCCACCCTCTGGTCTCATTCTCTGCAGTGACTCCCACTCTCTGCTTTCCTTCTCTGCAGTGATTCATTTTCATCCCACTCTCTGGTCTCATTCTCTGCAGTGACTCCCACTCTCTGGTTTGCTTCTCTGCAGTGATTCATTCTCATCCCACCCTCTGGTCTCATTCTCTGCAGTGACTCCCACTCTCTGGTTTCCTTCTCTGCAGTGATTCATTCTCATCCCACCCTCAAGGCTCATTCTTTGCAGTGACTCATTCACATTCCCACTCTCTGGTTTCCTTCTATGCACTGATTCATTCTCATTCCCACCCTCTGGTCCCATTCTCTGCAGTGACTCATTCACATTCCCACTCTCTGGTTTCCTTCTCTGCAGTGATTCATTCTCATCCCACCCTCTGGTCTCATTCTCTGCAGTGACTCCCACTCTCTGGTTTCCTTCTCTGCAGTGATTCATTCTCATCCCACCCTCAAGGCTCATTCTCTGCAGTGACTCATTCACATTCCCACTCTCTGGTTTCCTTCTATGCACTGATTCATTCTCATTCCCACCCTCTGGTCCCATTCTCTGCAGTGACTCATTCACATTCCCACTCTCTGGTTTCCTTCTCTGCAGTGATTCATTCTCATCCCACCCTCTGGTCTCATTCTCTGCAGTGACTCCCACTCTCTGGTTTCCTTCTCTGCAGTGATTCATTCTCATCCCACCCTCAAGGCTCATTCTCTGCAGTGACTCATTCACATTCCCACTCTCTGGTTTCCTTCTATGCACTGAGTCATTCTCATTCCCACCCTCTGGTCCCATTCTCTGCAGTGACTCATTCACATTCCCACTCTCTGGGTTCCTTCTCTGCAGTGATATATTCTCATCCCACCCTCTGGTCTCATTCTCTGCAGCGACTCATTCACATTCCCACTCTCTGGTTTCCTTCTATGCACTGATTCATTCTCATCCCACCCTCTGGTCTCATTCTCTGCTGTGACTCATTCACATTCCCACTCTCTGGTTTCCTTCTCTGCAGTGATTCATTCTCATCCCCACCCTCTGGTCTCATTCTCTGTGGTGACTCCCACTCTCTGGTTTCCTTCTCTGGAGTGACTCATTTACATTCCCACTCTCTGGTTTCCTTCTCTGCAGAGATTCATTCTCATCCCACCCTCTGGTCTCATTCTCTGCAGTGACTCATTCACATTCACACTCTGGTTTCCTTCGCTGCAGTGATTCATTCTCATCCCACCATCTGGTCTCATTACCTGCAGTGACTCATGCACATTCCCACTCTCTGGTTTCCTTCTCTGCAGTGATTCATTCTCATCCCACCCTCTGGTCTCATTCTCAGCAGTGACATATACTCATTCTCAATACCCCACATTCCCATTCTTTGGTTTACCCTACATTCTCATTTTAAACAGCTGTACATGGAAGAAGCAAGGAAGCGCATGTGTATGGAAGCTGAGGACCATCTTGTCACGTTCTACCCAAGCTTTGAGAAGCGGATTCTTGTTTTGCATGAAGTCATTTCTGAGCATTATGTGGTTCCATTGATATTGCTGAAGGAGGCCATGGCGGATAAAACACGGAGGGATGCATTCAAGCGCGTGTATACGCAGTGGAAGAACGAGCGCGGGTTTTACGTCAAACGGACCGTGCTCGAGGGGTTGGGGGTTCCTATGAGTGGCTTGCGGGCAGCGGAAATCCACATCGACACTGAGCTCAAGGAGGATCTCTGGGGAGAGTATGGCCCGAGTGAGTAAACACCTGCCTGACCTTTTCCCCCACCCTCCCCCCCTCCCCCTTGTCTCACCATCTCAGCCCTAGCACCCGTTTCTTGCAACACCCCATATCTGTACTCCATAGCTTGGCGTTTCCTTTACATGGACCGTTGTAGAAACCTGTGATTCGCCAGCCCATCCACCCTCTTCCCTTTTCACACCCCACCCATTGAACCACCTTCGTTCGCCTGTGTTGCAGGTGCCGACGCCCAACTGAGCACATGGGGAAATGCTGAGGTTACTGATCTCCCGTTCGGCAACGAGATCTTCTTCAACGCAGCAATGGACGCCTTCGGTGAATTTGCCATGGGGAACGACATATGCTTGAAGGCGTATCATATTGCCTGGACTATCTTGGTGGTGAGTGGCTTGTGAGGGTCCTTTTACTTGTTTCTCATCCCACACTTTTCTCCTTGGTAAACCCGTCCCATCCCGTGTAAACCTTAAACCCCCGTGTTTCCACCTCTCTCTCAGGTGCTTCTTGAAACCTTGGTATCCACCTGCCCAGGGGAGTTGCGCCCACTCTGGGTTCACGATTTCACTCACGGGCTTACGTTGTTAATATTTTTCACCAATCCCCTCACGTCCATGCAGTACCCATCAGTATCCTTCCCCTCCCGTGTTTCCGAACACTCTTTGGTTTCCTCTTCCTTTCAGAAGCTGCCCCACTCCTCTATCACCTTTCATGCTCACACTCTACCACCATGGCGTACTTCACTGGATGTTGTGCTTGCCCCACATGATTCCGACCTCTCACACTTATCACGCTTGAATCTGTCCATGCTCCCCTATTTTGACAATGCAGATTGACTACGGCTTGTCGAAGGTCAAGAAGTCGACGATGAACCTCACAAACTCCCACCAAAAGAACACGCGGTGGGTGGCAAGCATCCGCAGGGCGGTGAAGCGGGCAGTGACGGATCATTTCAGCCAGGTGAACCCTGTCTACGACCCACGGATGAAGGGGTTTAGGTGGGGGAATTTTGGCTTGTTCGTCCATGAGTCGGGGTTCGAGGAGTATAGGCCAAGACCACAACCCCGCAATCCGACAAGGAGGGTGGCGTCAGTGCACGTCTAGAGGAGATGAATGGTGGAATTGCAGTGCTCCAAGCTTGGGGTAAGAGCAGATGTGGGGACAGGGGAACCACAGCAGGGAGGGGAGGAGAGGAACCACAGCAGGGAGGGGAGGAGAGGAACCACAGCAGGGAGGGGAGGAGAGGAACCACAGCAGGGAGGGGAGGAGAGGAACCACAGCAGGGAGGGGAGGAGAAGAACCACAGCAGGGAGGGGAGGAGAGGAACCACAGCAGAGAGGGGAGGAGAGGAACCACAGCAGGGAGGGGAGGAGAGGAACCACAGCAGGGAGGGGAGGAGAGGAACCACAGCAGGGAGGGGAGGAGAGGAACCACAGCAGGGAGGGGAGGAGAGGAACCACAGCAGGGAGGGGAGGAGAGGAACCACAGCAGGGAGGGGAGGAGAGGAACCACAGCAGGGAGGGGAGGAGAGGAACCACAGCAGGGAGGGGAGGAGAGGAACCACAGCAGGGAGGGGAGGAGAGGAACCACAGCAGGGAGGGGAGGAGAGGAACCACAGCAGGGAGGGGAGGAGAGGAACCACAGCAGGGAGGGGAGGAGAGGAACCACAGCAGGGAGGGGAGGAGAGGAACCACAGCAGGGAGAGGAGCAGGGGAACCACAGCAGGGAATGGAGGAGAGGAGTCACAGCAGGGAGGGGAGCAGGGGAACCACAGCAGGGAGGGGAGGAGAGAAACCACAGCAGGGACAGGAGCAGGGGAACCACAGCAGGGAAGGGAGGAGAGGAACCACAGCAGGGAGAGGAGCAGGGGAACCACAGCAAGGAAGGGAGGAGAGGAACCACAGGAGGGAGGGGAGCAGGGTAACCACAGCAGGGAAGGGAGGAGAGGAACCACAGCAGGGAGGGGAGCAGGGGAACCACGGCAGGGAAGGGAGGAGAGGAGTCACAGCAGGGAGGGGAGCAGGGGAACCACGGCAGGGAAGGGAGGAGAGGAGTCACAGCAGGGAGGGGAGCAGGGTAACCACAGCAGGGAAGGGAGGAGGGGAACCATAGCAGGGAAGGGAGCATGGGAACCACAGCAGGGAAGGGAAGAGAGGAACCACAGCAGGGAGGGGAGCAGAGGAACCACAGCAGGGAAGGGAGGAGAGGAACCGCGGCAGGGAAGGGAGCAGGGTAACCACAGCAGGGAAGGGAGGAGAGGAACCACAGCAGGGAGGGGAGCAGGGGAACCACAGCAGGGAGGGGGGGAGATGAACCACAGCAGGGAGAGGAGCAGGGGAACCACAGCAGGGAAGGGAGGAGAGGAACCATATCAGGGAGGGGAGCATGGGAACCATAGCAGGGAAGGGAGGAGAGGAACCACAGCAGGGAAGGGAGCAGAGGAACCACAGCAGGGAAGGGAGGACTGAAGCCACGGCTGGGAAGGGAGGAGAGGAGTATCAGCAAGGAGAGGTGCGCAGGAGTAACAGCCGGGAGGGGAGCACAGTAGTAACAACATGAGGGGGAAGCAAGGATTGACATCAAGGGGGCGGGGTTAAGAAATAATAGCACAGCAGGGAGGATGCAGCGGGGAGTAGCACAGCAGGGAGGATGTAGCGAGGAGTAGCACAGCAGGGAGGATTTTACTGGGGAGTAGCACGGCAGGGAGGATGCAGCGGGGAGTAGCACAGCAGGGAGGATGTAGCGGGGAGTAGCACAGCAGGGAGGATGAAGCAGAGTACGGACCTAGGGTTGATAGTGGGTAGTAGTAGCGCAGGTGTCATTAACTGAGGATGATTAGTAGAGTAGCTAAGAACCAAAGAATAAGTAGGCATCTAATGTGTCGTAAATCTTTTCAAGCTAATATTATGATTTACACGTACATGCCTTCCCTCTTACGGTGTATTTATGGAAATTGCTAAAGAAACTACCAACTGGGTTTTCCAAACTCCGATTATGTTTATTTATAATACCCCATAAACCCTTTCCAAGATTATTATATGCATATAAAAGTAAATAGCAAACCTTATACAAGTCTAAAATTGAAGCACATAACATGATTCAACCAAGTTATCCCAAACACAATGAGAACTTCCTCACAACCATTTCCAAACTGTTTAAAAACACTCCGATCATCTGCAAAGCATTTGACATACCATCTGGAAAAAGTTCGATACTTTCTTCTAAAAAAGTACCGACCCCTACATCTTCAATTCATCTGCAAAAACACAACAAACACACTTCATGAGAGGTTTTCCGCCACTTGATTTTAGTGATGGTGTGGAATAAGTCACATATAGAAAATCTGAAGTTGGACAAGCATACATGGGAAGACCAAAGAAGCATGTATGTATGCAAGGAGCCAATGCTTTGCAAAGCCAGAGGAACAAAGACATACACACAAGCATGGGGAACATTTTCACTCACAGCCCATGGCTTTCCGTTGGCTGGAAGCTTGCACATGAGCTCCTGGTCTCTCCTTGGAATGGCGTCACCCGGTGCATATAGCTGCAGGCGACGATGCTTGCTGTCCCCAACCACATGGAAGTTGCGCTTGCGCTTGCCGTTCGGACCAGGACGCCCTTCAACGTCCTCCGGGTCGCGACTGGAGATTAGAGATGACGGGCGTTGAATGGCCGGTGCTACACGAGGAGCAGCAGGCGGTGTTCGTGGAGCCGCCATCTGTTTTTCCCGACTAACATTGTCGTGTGCCACACACACGTTTCTAGCGGAACCTCGCTCTTCGCGTGAGCCTCCGCCCCCTCTGTCCATCTGCCGCTGCAGACGTTCATACTGTAAGTTACGCTCCCGAAGCTGTCGCTTCAACGCCTCAATCTCGCTCTCTTCAGCGCCCTGGCGAGTCGACGGAGGCGGGTTGCCCAGGGGTGAAGACCTGTTAATGGCGCCCAAAGGGCTCTCCTCCGCGCGTTCCAGTCGTTTTGTACGCTCTTCCTCTTCGTTTATTGCAGCCACAGATGTTGTTTTAGGGGCACCTGCGACAGGGAGTGTAAAACGACTAGTTGTTACTCTTGGGTGTCAAGTACGAACCAAAGATAAGATGCGAGGTAAACATGAATGCGACGGCAGAACGCGCTCATGCAATCAAAAATGGACCGTTCTGGATAATTAGATGGGCCACACCATTCAGAGGTGGTGGGGCATGGCGGAAGGAGGTGCCATAAGATAGTTGACTTACCCCCTGATTTGCCCGCGCCGTTGTCATTACGTGTCGTGTCGTTTGCATCCTCTTCAGTATCTTCGAAGTCCTCTTGCGCCACAATCTCGCCTAAGATCGCATTAGCCTCGCGTTCCTCGTCCTTAGATGCCGCGGCGACTTGGCTTGGCTTAGATGCTGGCTCTTCGGCCTCCGGCGCATTCAGCTTCTTCTTCTTTGGAGCCGCCGATGCACCGCCTCTGTCACGGCCTCGTCCGCCACCACTTAGGAGCCTCTTGCCTAAACCGTCGTTGCCCTTCATTTTCTCTGAGAGTTTGATCTCACGCTTTCCGGTGACAACGTCATGCTTAGCTCCTTGAGAAGCCATCGAAGGATCGTTAGTGGTACATGCGGTAGGATCAATGAGAGTGGTTGCAAGGATGTGAGTTCCAGTCGAGAAGTGAGACCTAGGTAGTTAACTAAAAAACCCACTATGTGCTTATATCGAATGCTCTCTATATTAGCCCGAAAGGAAGCGCCATTAGTGTAACCGCGCCACATCGGCCAGAAAATACCCGTCGTCATTGGCGGTCCGTGTATTCCGCGTCACGGGCAAGGCGATTTGTAGAACGTTAAAACGGAAGAGTTAATGACCAGGCACGTAACCTTGCTCAGGCTACTACCTCGTATAGCTCAAGTCACTCCAACCACTCTGGCTATTCCAACTGACTCTGTGAGTAGGAGCAAGTCAATTCATTTGGAGACGAGGGTTTGAAACTTCAAACCATGAAGGAGGTTGAACAGAACTCGAGAGCCGTCAGATCTTCACACCTCGTCATCTGAGCTGTTGATTTCGCAGCCACCCTCCTCGTCCTATGGCCGTTAGCAGTGGTATCGGTTGTCAATTGGCAACACACAACGAGTTGTAACTGTTCACTGACATTGTGTACGGGCTGGTTGCTTTTACCGTTCAAAAATAAGTACTCAGCTAAAAGTGGTGCGCCTAAGGTTGTATGACTTACGAGGGGGAGTACTGAGACCAAGAAGCAATGGGCTCGCGCGTCAGAGTTAGGAAAAGTGTTCTGTGCTTGCTTGATGCCATAGCAAAGCGCTGTGGCGAACGAATTCCCATTTTCGGAAAACCAACCTGCAATGACCACGAATAGGTAAGTTGCTTTGTAACAGTTGCGTTTCTGAGCTGTCAGTTTGGCGCACTGTTCAATCAGTCCAGTAAACGCCAGCTTACACCCACCGACCGTCGCATCCTTGCTTCGCGATGCAGCTGATCGTGCCCGCGATGCGCGACGGGGGTGACGCTTCTTACCTCCCTTCATTCGCGCAATTGACTCAGACAAGAACCAATCAAATGAGTCTGTGACGATATGGCGACAAGAAATTACAGATCGACTGTACCCTAATGCACGCACTTCAACAAGAGCATGACAGTGGCAATTGATACACACCTAAACACCAGTGTGCACCCTGGTACAATATCTTTATGCATACATTGTGTCCCAACTATACACATGCAGCATTATAATGGAAATTGCACACGATCAAAATTCTGCAATGGCAAGTGATAGCAATGCCATCTGTAGTGACTGTCAGCAGCTAAATTGCCTTTTTAATGTGAGCACCAGACAGTCTCACCTAGATACATTTGGAGGGTTAATGGTTACAGGCTTTGAGAATGAGAAATACAAGCAGCGGGATAAGCTGTTGACGGTAATAGGATTGGCTATCGTTAAAAATATTTGACCCGTTTTGCGAACTGACGCTTGTCTACCTATATAAAGCAGTTGCGAACGATGGGAGCACCCAGTGCGCGGAACGCGTCAAAGCTGTTCAAGGAAAGATAGTCATGCTACTCACTGCCTGTTCAAGGAAAGAGAGTCATGCCACTCACTGCGATTAAGTGCCCTCCTAGTATTTTTATCCCCCGTAACTTTGTCCCAATAGCCTCAACTATGTATCTAGGTAAGTCTATCCTGTTCTGAGATCAGTCGCAGTTGTTTTGGATAGGTAAACATACGTCAGTGCGCGGAACGAGACGAATCTGTTCAGGGATAGCGAGTCATGGCACAATCAGCTATAAAGTGCTCTGTTTGCATGTTTAGCTCCCGTTTCTTTGTACCAATAGCCTCTCCTATGTACCTAGGTGAGGCCATCATGGTTTGAGATCATTCGCAGCTGCTTTGGCTATGTAACATGCGTCAGTGCGCCGAACGGCTTGAATCTGTTCAAGGATAGCCAATCATGGCACAATCAGCTAGAAAGTGCTCTGTTTGCATGTTTAACTCCCGTTTCTTTGTGCCAAGAGCCTCTCCTATGTACCTAGATGAGACCATCCTGGTCTGAGATCATTCGCAGCTGCTTTGGCCAGGTAAACATGCGTCAGTGCGCCGAACGGCTTGAATCTGGTTTGAGGATAGCCAGTCATGGCACAATCAGCTAGAAAGTGCTCTGTTTGCATGTTTAACTCCCGCTTCTTTGTACCAAGAGCCTCTCCTATGTACCTAGATGAGACCATCCTGGTCTGAGATCATTCGCAGCTGCTTTGGAAAGGTAAACATGCGTCAGTGCGCCGAACGGCTTGCATCTGTTTAAGGATAGCCAGTCATGCACAATCAGCTAGAAAGTGCTCTGTTTGCATGTTTAACTCCCGTTTCTTTGTACCAAGAGCCTCTCCTATGTACCTGGGTGAGACCATCCTGGTTTGAGATCATTCGCAGCTGCTTTGTCCAGGTAAACATGCATCAGTGCGCCGAACGGCTTGAATCTGTTCAAGGATAGCCAGTCATGGCACAATCAGCTAGAAAGTGCTCTGTTTGCATGTTTAACTCCCGTTTCTTTGTACCAAGAGCCTCTCCTATCTACCTAGATGAGACCATCCTGGTCTGAGATCATTCGCAGCTGCTTTGGCAAGGTAAACATGCGTTAGTGCGCCGAACGGCTTGAATCTGTTCAAGGATAGTTAGTCATGGCACAATCAGCTATAAAGTGCTCTATTTGCAAGTTCAACTCCCGTTTCTTTGTACCAAGAGCCTCTCCTATGTACCTAGGTGAGACCATCCTGGTTTGAGATCATTCGCAGCTGCTTTGTCTAGGTAAACATGCGTCAGTGCGCCGAACGGCTTGAATCTATTCAACGATAGCCAGTCATGGCACAATCAGCTATAAGGTGCACCGTTTGTATTTTTAACTCGTTGTGCAACGTTGTGTAATTTCCCGGTTGTGCGACGTTAGACCGATGCACAAGTCCATCTTAGTTCTAAGTCTGTTGCACATTAGTATATTCATAGTGCAATTTGGTTCAAACCGAGTTTTTGACTCGTTAAACGTTGGAGGTTATACAGTGGCGCGGACAGTCGATCACTGCGTAGCCGAGTTCCACGGTTTGAATTTTGAACTTCATCCTAGTTGAGTCCAAGTAAAGACCATTGCCCACGATCGAATGTGACGCGTCGGTAGGCCATTCAAGGGCGACGTTCTAGTAAAGGGCGCATCGTCGGAACTTGCGACACGAGTGTATTCCACGTAGGGACGATCATATGGCTCCTCCAGAGTATAAATTGCCTCTTCCATGCCTATTCTACAGTTTAGGCACACAATGGCTGTTGGTAGAGCGGTGAGGATAATCATGTTGAGCGTCATCTTGTGCGAATGGTGCGCTGTGTTCATTGGGACCTATCGACTTCTATCCGTACATCAAGCATCGAGCCTGCATTGTCGCATAGAACAGGTGCGCTACAATGACGCGGGGTACTCTCGAGGCCCATACCATCTCGACAAAAATGGCGACATCGTTAAAAACCCGGTACCGTCATGTTGCAATGCCAAGCGTAGGAGAACCGTAGCGCATGAGCCGGACATAGCACAGCCCCCAATGGAAGAGCAGTCGCCAGATCCGCCGCCCGTTCCGGCAAGCGCTGCACCAGATGTTCATGACGAGCTCGATGCGGAAGAGCTCGATGCTGACGAAATGGTCGTACCACGTACCATATGGCTACCCGAAACGAGTTTCGACACCCGTAAGGAGGTTATGCTTCTCATGCAGTCGTTCAACGAGGGTCAAGGGATGATAGTAGAGCAAAGCAAACGGTTTCTGACCGTGATGTCGCATCCCGAGCTTTGACCTGAAGAATTGGCTGGATGGAGAAGCATCAAAGACTCTAAAAAATGGGCAGCGGACCAATGGGGAGAGAAGGCTTCCGAGTGGACAACGACAATGGTTGAGGTTCACGGTGTTATGGAGAACGGACGGCCCCTTCTCGTGCCGCTCAAGCATGCAAACACTCTCAAAGTGAGACTTCTGTATCCTTCATAACCATACCCTCCGTGCCCTCCTCTGTTCCCACCCATTCTGTTCGAATGCCCCCTCTACTCCGTACCCTCCTCTGTTCCCACCCATTCAGTTCCTTACCCCCTCTGTTCCGTACCCTCATCTGTTCCTGACCCCCCTCTGCTCCTACCCTCCACTCTTCAAACCCTCCTCTGTTCACACCCCTTTTGTTCCCTACCCCCTCTGTTCTGTACCCTCCTCTGTTCCCACCCATTCAGTTCCCTACCCTCTCTGTTTCGTACCCTCATCTGTTCCCTACCCCCCTCTGCTCCTACCCTCCACTCTTCAAACCCTCCTCTGTTCACACCCCTTCCGTTCCCTACCCCCTCTGTTCCGTACCCTCTTCTGTTCCCACCCATTCAGTTCCCTACCCTCCACTGGTCCTACCCTCCTCTGTTCCTACCCTCCACTGGTCCTACCCTCCTCTGTTCCTACCCTCCACTGGTCCTACCCTCCTCTGTTCCTACCCTGCACTGGTCCTACCCTCCTCTGTTCCTACCCTCCACTGGTCCTACCCTCCTCTGTTCCTACCCTCAACTGGTCCCACCCTCCTCTGTTACTACCCTCCTTTGCTGCATACGCGCCAGTGTTCTTACCCTCGGTGTTCCTACCAACCTTTGTTTCAACCATGGTATGTATACACAACAGATGTTCCTTCCTGAATGGGCATGTCTTATGTTGCGCCTGCCATTGACGTGGCCAGATTGCACAAGCTATTTTTGAGGATATCAAGAACCAGCCGGGGTTTGCCTTGTTTCCGAGTGAAAAGAAGGTTAACAACAAACGTGTGTACACTCGACTTCAGCATTGTGACTGGTGGTTGGAGGCACAGGTATGTTCCTGCCTGCTAGTGGTATCTTTTACCACCACATATTCTCTCCTATGTTCACAAACATTGACTGGCATACACTGTCTGCGTGGCAGCGTGCTCTTGGTTACTCTGATGAGGTCGTTGCTGCCCTTATAGTGTATTCCGACGTCACCCAGTTGTCAAAAAACGACACGCAGAAGGTGTGGCATGTGGTCTTAACATTGGGTAATATTGC